GGCCTCTAACGATAAACACTACTATTCTAATGAATTTGTCATAGAAGAGTCAGTAGAAGCAAAATTAACGGGATTTTTTCGTTTTTATATTGTAATTTGAAGTGTCTATTCTACCAAAATAAGAACGTTTATTGACTTGGCAAGTTGGTATATGTTAGAAAATATCTTTAAATGTAACACTACTATTTTCATGAACACAACTGTATATATGTATGTACATCCAAAACAATTACGTTTTTGATATCTTACTTTTTTGAGTGTAAGTTTTAAACTGTCATTATCGCCCCATATTGACCGCATGGAGCCTCATTCTTTTTGAAGCTGTTTTTTCGACATGTGTAAATTTCACTTTTTATGCAGCGCCAATTGCATTCAGTTTTAACTTGTGCTTTAACAGATTATCTATTTCACTGTTTTGCCTTTCGTTGTTTGCTAGATTTGTGTTTTTGTATAATTGTTGTTTTAAATGTGGGTTTTATTATTTGTTCAACAACTGCAACAGTTGATTCATGAATTAAGCAATTACCTACATACATATGTACACACATATATACGATTTTAAATGTTGATAGCTATTGAACTTGTTCAACAAGTGCCGTGAAATGTGAAAAAAAATAAAATCTTGGCGCAAAGGCAACCAAATTATTCGCTGTCAATTTTAGCGCAGAACTTAAGCCTACGTAATGTGAATAATAAATGCGAACATTATGCATTTAAATACAATAAAAAATGTGTAAATAATATATGATTATCTGTACAATTGAAGTTTAAAAAAGTGAAACTGCATTCAACTAACAAAATTTATGAACAATTGTTAGAAGTGTATATGGAGTCCTCACCTTCAAAACGCACCGTTGAATTTTGGGCTGGTGAATTAACGCGTGGTCGTACTAGGCTTGAAGACGTTCCACGCGAAGGACGCCCAAAACCCGCAACCACACCAGAAATCATTGAGCAAGTTCATAATATTGTTAGTGAAGATCCTAGTTTGACTAAGCGTGAAATTGCTAATGCCATAGGCAGACGAACGTGTGCTTCATATCTTACATGGAGAATTACATATGAAAAAGCTGTTTGGAAAATTAGTGCCGCACACTTTAACAATTCAACAAAAACTGGATCGAAAACAAATTTCTCAGCATTATTTGGAGCGTTTGAAGCAGAATAAAACCGATTACATGCGTCGTTTTATAACTATGGTTGAGGCTTGGATCTACCATAATGATCATAAACTGAAACTAGGAACGTTTACAGTAGACTGAAGCTGGTTGTTCAGCTCCAAAGCAGGTGAAGTCACAACGATCAGCAAAGAAGGTTATGACATCAGTTTTTTGGAATGCAAAACGAATTTTGTTGATAAAACATGACAGTTTGCATAAATTGGTATTTTAACACCCTTTAAGAAAAATTAATTCTTTGTATATGTACCTTTAATCTCTATCATGGTTTACAGTCTTTTATTCAGATATTGCACCAAATTTTGTGTAAGTTCAGGAGGTATATTTGCCCATATTTCCTGAAGACCAGCCTTAATCTGAACCTCGTCTCCACATATGCTTACAGGTGTCCAATGGGTTTTAGGTCTGGACTGTGGGGAGGATGTGACAGAACTTTTTTCAAGTTGTGCAACAAACATTCCTTAACCACTAAAGCAGAATGCTTCGGGTCGTTATCCTGAATAAAGCAGTAGTCACCATTTTAATTGAGTAGTTGTTCCTACTGCACCCCCTTCCCTCCTATCAGATCCAAATAAATAAAATTTGGACTTATCTGTAAAATTTACAGAATCTCAAAATTCGTTATGGCGGTTAATAGTGGCTTGTTTCGTAGCTTCTTCCAACTTCTTGGCGTTAGCGACAGCGGATATATAGTGGTGTTCCTTGATACTCCGGGCGAATTTACTGTCAGTCTGGGGCGTACAAATTTTTTGTAAGTTCCACTAAAATCAAGTCTTTCAACTCCACCAGTCTTTTTGAATTTAGCAATACTGTACTAAACATTAGTATGTTCTACTTTTTAAATACAGCGCACGCTCGAAAACGTGAACCAATTAAAACCGAGGCAGTTCACATTTGCGAAATGTTCACTTTTCGAATACCCAAAAAGAATAAGTTTGTTTATATTAACCAATTTAAATTCACATTTTATTGTTGTTTCATATACATATTAATTTGTACTGAAGTGATATAATAGGAAATGTAAGTTTGAGAAAACTGCAATAACTTAAAAAATTAGTAATTTTTCCTTTACATTTTCTGTTTTCTAATAATAGCCCACTGTACCGCTATGTTGAAAATTTCAATTATTTCATTTGGTTTAATTTTTTCCAGTGTTTCTGAGACGCTGTTTTCATCTGATTTGTCCTCTTGTTCCATATTATTTATCTTAATATCTTCGTATCGTTTTCCGCAAAATTGAAAGACAAAACTGCAACCGCACAAATGAAATTCACTTCCCAAATAATAAATTTTGACCATACGCAAATAATACCAGACAAAAATAACGGTACCTACTTGGTAACTGCATTTAAAATGTTGCCAACGTAAGTGTACACGTTGTTTTAGGCTGCTGAAAGGAGAGATATTTTAATTTTTTGCAATGGTTAACATCAAAATGATTTATTGTTAAATTTTTTATTAAAATACCAAAAATACAAAGATTTTCATATTGTTACTCTTGGTTGCAGCTTAAAAGATGAGATAGATGAGATGAGATCCAACATCAAAACATTTTTCTGTACAACTGTTTTTTTTTTTTTTGGTTAACTCTATATGTACATAACTGATCAGCTTGACGAGCTGATCCGATTTAGCACTCAGTTTTTAAGATATCAAGCTGGAATTATGCACATGTCCTTTTCTCCCCACGAAGTTGCTCATTTGTCGAAACCACCGATATCTGACCACTGTAGCATATAGCTCAAAGATAGATCGAAATCAAGTTTTGTAAGGAAACATTTTTTTGGTAAAGGGTATTATTGCTTCGGTGCAACCGAAGTTAATGTTTTTCTTGTTTCAGCCCAAAAATTTATACACTTACAGTCATGGGGAGAGAAATAGCACACTTTGAGTATTTAAAAAAACGACGTTTATTAATAATATAAGCAAAACAAATTTAGTTTTTGATGAGCATGGCATAAATTGAGGAATAAGTAAATGATGAACAAAAATTAAAAAAACGATTTTTTCAATAGTTATTTTTTTTTTTTTTTAATTATTGAGTTTCCAATTGCGCTTTGTCCAGCTTACTCCACTAACTTCTGGCACCTACTTTGTGGAATGCGTACCATGTCACCTCGATTCCAGTACAAAGTTCTTCAGCATTTTTGAATTTTTTTTAGCTCTTTGCATCTTAACATCGCTCCATAAATATATCCATATGCGCTGACCAGCTCTAGACGTCAATACTTTCTGCAGTGAGCCAATTCTTCACATTTTTAGCTGCGTGCTTTGGATCATTGGCATGCATAAAAATCCAATTCAACAGCATCGATTTGAACACGAATCGTTGCATTGGTTTGCCATCGGATTCAATATGATTTACTTTTGTTTCATCGATCCAAAGTACTCTTTTTCAAAATTTTACGTCCTTTTTTAAATGTTCTTTAGCAAAGTTCAGCCGTGCTCTTATGTTTCTTTTGAACAACAATGGAATTTTTCCACTCATTCCTCCAAACACGTAAGCATCATTGAGACGCATTCGTACCAATACGTCATCCAAACTTTCAAAAAATTGGGAATTATTACTTCAAAGCCTCGAGCTGTAGGTCCGAGAATATTGACTGATCGAAAAACACGCAAAGTTGTATCTCTTGTCCGCGTTTAACTGCTTCCCAAATAGCAGAAGATGTAAAACTACGATTTAAAAAAACAATATGCAGCGACACAGCAAGAAAAATATTAAAAAGGGCTGGATACCATGATGAAGCGCATTGCTTTCGCAAACGTACATATAACCATGCCTATATCTTTCTGGGAATCGGTTTTATGGTCAGTGGAGACCAAATATTGTATATTTGGAATAAAAGGAACATAGATGGTGTGGCGAAAAACATTTCATGTCTAAACGTCTACCAGAAGTTTTAAAATTTCGAGGCTGCCCCACCAGCCTTTAAACTTTTTATAATTACTTGATATTATTGTGTTCTGTTAGATGAGCGGAGACTTTTTCCGTTTAAGTTAATTGTTTTTAAAGACAATAAACTCTGTGGCTTTTGTTTATTAAATTATTTGAAAAAAAAGTAAATTTTTTTAAACGAAAAGATATGGTTTAATAACACAAAAAAAATTTTTTAAATTTTTTTAGTTGGTCAAACTTTTATTTTAGTTTAAAAGATTTGGTACCCAATGATCGGAGACTTTTTCTACCTAGTGTACACTAAGGGCGGAAATTATTGCCATGCACTTATGTATTTGATAAAACTAAAAAAAATATTTTAAAATTCTGCTATTTCTCTGTTCATGACTGTACTAGTGTGTATTATTTCAGCTTCAAGCATACCAATACAATCTATTTTTTTTTTGGTTCTGAATGTAATTGAGTACACAAATTGTGCAAAATTATCTCTGAATAATTAAAAAGTGTTCCGACTTAACGATGGCGATTTATCGTTTTCCATGCGGATTAGGGATTACCGACATATTTAATCAGACCTATTATAACGTAATGTGAGGTGTAGCAATACATATGTATATATGTATATGCGAGTTATTAAAGCATTTCGACGATTACACACCCTTTGGATTAGTAAGTTGACACCCAGCACAGACAAGACAGTTTATGGCGACAACAGCTTGGCAAAAAGCGCTGAGCTTGTCTGAAATGTCACTCAATAAATAAAAAAACCTCTTACATATTAAAATTGGCACAAACAATTTGTTGATTAGGCATATGTATATGACAATTTACCTTAAAATTTTAGTTGATTTTTTTTTTTTATTATACACGACAACGCAATTGCAGAGTGCCAACTGACCAGTTTTCTTCTTTTCCAATTTCAGCTGACACAGGCGGTTAACGAATTGACGAAATTAATTGGCTGGCGCCATCAATCGATCAAAAAATACGCGAAACGAAATTTGCTGCAGTTTTTTACCAATCACTCTTCGCCTAAGACTCGTAGCACATAACGGTTTCAACTAACGGCTGCGTAACGCACACATTATACTACTACAACAATACTACAGCGGTGTGACACGCAACGCCGCGTTCAAAGTCAAAGAAATGGCCGAATTACCCGCTCCACCAAGTGATTACCTCCATCGTTCGATCGATCAGTTGCGCTCGATGAACGAACGCAATGTCCTCTCGTCACTAAGCCATCATCTGACGCCGGTGGAATTGCGCAATGCCGCACAGTTGGCGGCACACGAATACAAACCATTCAATATCAATGAATTTCGTCAGAATGTGGAGCGTTTAGATTATTCATTGAAGAATGGCCTTATACACCAACAACAGCAGTTGCTTGCTGATCATCAGCAGCAACAGCAACAACTCCAGCAACAGCAAGCGCATGAGCAACAACAACAGCAGCAACATCATCAGCAACAACAACAACATGCGGCTCATCAACAGCAGCAGCAGCAACAACAGCAACAACAACAGCAGCAGCAGTTGCAGCTTAAACAATCGTACAGTCCGCCAAATTCGCCGGCCACGCCCACTATGACCGAACAACCAGAGCAGAAGGTAAGTGATAGTAATTTGATATAGCAATGCCGGAAAATGCGCACACCTGGTCAAAATAATAAGTACATACACCCGTGTGGCTTTCAATGACTAATAATTTCACTTTTATTCATGTTTGGAAAAGGGAAAGAATAATGTTACATTTAATTTCTTTTATTAATTAAAAATATCAAGATATTAATAGTAAACATTTAAATAGGAATCCAGTACATCCATCATTATTTTCAATTACTTTTGAAATTCGTTTCGGCAAGCTGGAGATGAGTTTGCGGCACGTATTAATTGAAATCTCATACAAGGTTTTTTCAACAAATTCCCATAACTGGATTCAAATCGGGGGACTGACTTGGTCAATTTAGAGAACTCACGCTGTTGTCCTGCAACCAATCTTTTACCAACTTCGAAATACTTTTAGGATCGTTATCTGAAATTTCCATATTAATGGTGTCTGTAATACGATGTATTGCTCATACACCATACCAAGAAAAGCATCCTTTGCCTTTCGGTCTGCTATAATTCACGAACAAATTAATTTCTGTTTCATCGCTCCACAAGATATTTGGTCCTTTTTTTTTTATCTATCTGGGTCGGTCCAATTTCCATGATTTTTCGCGATTTCTAACCTTATCCTAAAAGTTTTTTGTCGCAATAAAGGTATTCTTCTCGCTATCCTGACCGGTAAATAAGCTCGTTGTAGCCTTCGTCGGACCGCTCGGGAAAATGTTTTATTGCCAATATTGCCTGAAATGATTCTTGAAGATATGAGTGAGTCCTTTTTAGCGAGCGTGGCGATACGGTTGTCCGTTGTAATTGATATTTTTTTGTCGACCGCAGAGTTTCAAGATTTTTGTTTTAATATTTAGGGTATTCTGCAGGAAATACAGGTTTTGGCCCTCATTTTTGAGGGGAGAGAAGATTTTCTCCTCCGTACTGCAAAGCTTATTTCTACTAGCCATGATTGCAGGCTAAAGAAATGTACTTATTATTTTGACCATGTGTGTATATAATGATTCGAGAATAACACTTGGGAAGTTCTCAAGCTCATATTTGGTTTTAATATTCAATTATGTAATGCTATGTTCCGACCGGCACTTAATTACGAGATTTAGGCTGCTAGTAGATTTTCTAATTAATCTACTCGAATCTGTTTTATAAATCTCCAACGGCAGTGAGGACAGGCTAGATTAGTGAATAGATTAAATCTCTTCAAATTTTTGGTCGAAACATCGAATTTTCGAATGGTACTTAATAATGTCAGTCAGATTTAATGTCGATCAAAAGTACAATATTATTTGGAACTGCACTTAAAAAACGTTTCGACGACAAACGGATCCACGTTACATAAACGGACGTGGCTATTTGTTCGGTCACGGGCTGAGAACTTGGCAGTATTCTTCTAAGTAATTTTGGTTTCTCATAAAATACCTTAACTATTTTAGCGTTATAGAAACCTACAAAATATTGGCTTCAATTAATACATATTTCCATGTCTGCTTTTGCTATCTTGACATACGAACTTCTTTCTCTTGGGGAGCATGCTTTCTTAAACGTTTATATTTTTTTTTCCTCTACTCATTTTAGTACGATCCACATGCTGCTGCTGTCGAACAACAACAACAGCAACAACTTACCGTTAATCAGAAGCAACAACGTAACCAACAAGGCTCCCCTGAAGGCCGTGACGCGAAGCCCTACAAATGCACGCAATGCACAAAAACCTTCGCCAATTCCTCCTATCTCTCACAACACACCCGCATCCATCTGGGCATCAAGCCATATCGATGTGAGATCTGCCAACGCAAATTCACACAGCTGTCGCACCTGCAACAACACATCCGCACACATACCGGGGATAAACCATACAAGTGCCGCCATGCTGGCTGCCCTAAAGCCTTCTCGCAACTCTCCAATTTGCAATCGCACTCTCGCTGCCACCAAACGGACAAACCATTTAAATGCAACTCCTGCTACAAATGCTTCACCGACGAATTGACGCTGCTCGAGCACATACCCAAGCACAAAGACTCGAAACACCTGAAGACGCACATCTGCAACCTGTGTGGCAAGTCGTACACACAGGAGACCTACCTGCAGAAACATTTGCAAAAACACGCCGAAAAGGCGGAGAAGCAACAGCAACGGCAGGCCAGCTCAACAAGTAATGCGCAACACCATGTGCCTGCCGGCGGTATTGGTCTCAATTTGCAGCGACAGGTGGTGATGAATGCTGCCGCGGCGGCCGCAACTAGTGATCCCAATTCGTATTGGGCGAAAGTGGGTGCTGATAGTGCCGTAAATGCTGCGACCCTCGCTGAAGCTATACAACAGCAACAGCAGCAAGCTGCCGCTGCCGCAGCCGCAGCGGCTGCGCAACAACAACAACATGCCCAGAATGGCTATAACTTTGCGGCGCTGCAACAGCATCAACAACAACAACAACAGGAGCTGTTGCAACACCATCAGCGGCTGGTGAATGGTGGAGCGGGCAGTGGTGGCGATAGCGCTGGCAGCGGCAACACGCCGAATCACTCACACTCGCCCAACGATGAAGGTGAGGACTTGGTGATGCGCCAAACACCACAACATCATCTCCAACAACAGCAACAACATCAGCATCAACAGTCACACTCACCCAATCCACTTCTAATGGGCAATGCAGCGGCTGCAGCAGCGGCGGCGGCGGCCGCAGCCAACTACGACGTAAAAACAACCAGCGCCTTTACTCCCATCAACACGGCACCACCACATTTGAACGCGCTAGCTGCACAACAACGTCCACCGGCCGCCGCAGCGTACCTGTACCAGCAGAATGCTGCCGCAGCCGCTGGTTTCCCAACACAGCTTATCTCATTGCATCAGATACGCAACTATGCGCATCAACCCAGCGCAGCGGCGGCAGCGGGACTATTGGCCAGCGATCACCTGCTCGGTTTGACTGGCGTGACCGCGGGCGGTGCCGGCAAGGATAAGGGTCAATAGTACGCCGCACTGCACAGCGGTGTTGGCAACAGTAACGGCAGGTATGGTAATAAGTTCAAAAAGTCGAAGAAACGGATACATGAGCGTACACGTGATCGCAGTTGATTTTACTGAGGCGCCTAGTCGCACGGATAGGGAGTTAGTTGCCTGTCGGCAGGAGGGCGCTCAGCGTCCGTATGCATGTTTGATAAAGCGAGCTCGTAGTGCGCACATGGGATGGTAGTACTACAACTACAATTACAACATCAAATGCACAACAACAAACAACATTAAAAACTCAGGTTTTAATGATAGTTTCAGCAAAGCGGTAGAAGGGAGAACGCAAATGTTAGAATCAGTTGGAGCATAGCATTTTGAGCAACATTTATTTCCTGGTGTCTTTGCTCTGCGAATTTATCAACGCATCTTCCTTTCCACCTAATATTATATAGGGTTGCTAACAAATACAAATATGCATTTATATATGTATATATATGCAATAAGACGCCTACATCTTTTGCACGTTTCCATGGCAGGTGCTTGTCTACTCTGTATAAACCCTAACACCTGTAAATTCACTCCCTTTATACCAACGTGTTGCTTCTTCTATTTTGTCTCTCATATACATATACTACGCCTGCGCGCCTTGACAGTATACAAATTCTACAAATTGTAGTTCATAATTATAGTAATTATACATAGAAGTAGTTACCGATTAGTTACCCGTCTAGCAATAAGGTAATCGTATTGTAGCAAAAGTAGTTTGATAAGCCGAATTTACTTTATTCAGTAAGAAACAGCTAAGGTTAAGAATTGTGTAATAACAGGCAAATGTATATAAGTATGTACATATACATATGTATGTATTTGATTTTAGATTCTTTATCACAAATATTTTTCTATACAGTATCCATTTTAAACTTCTTTAAGTTTTGTTAAACAAAATTATATATTTTAATTCCTTTGTAAAAATTCTAAAAAATTTATGTATGTATGTATATACATTAAACATTCAATAAGCTTCTGTAGTCAATTAAGTGATTGCAACCTTTGTAGCAACGAATTTATGAATCTCAATAAACTTCACAACTTTTCATAGAATATATACTATGTATATTTTTTGTATCTTCTTTTAAACTATTTTGATTATTTACAAAAGACCTGTAGGTCTATGCATGACGTAACAGCCAGCTAGTATAACCTAGACTATTTTGATTTTGTATTGACTCTCAAATTTTAGATTTCAAGAAAAAAAGGTAATTAAATAACGGCATAACAGCTGTCAGCAACATATTTTTGGAGAAATGCCCACTCTTCCTTTCCAACGAGAGAAAAAGCTAAGCCCACAACAAAAACAATTTCGCAAGGTTCATGAACAGCGTTTCTTGTATAATTAATTTACATTTTGTTATCAATTGATAGCTATAACCAGAGATAAAGGGATGTCCAACTTATTCCAGTGTGAGAGCGCCTCACAACTAGCGTTTTTTATAACATTTTCTATTGTAACCAAATCGGACAAAATAATGATTTTGGGGCATTGAAATTAAAATACCCAAAATTTATTAAGATTAATTATTATTATACATGTATCCGTTAAACATATGGATAAACTATTCAAATTTATATTAAATTTGTGATTTTGTGATATATTAAAACAACTAATTTTTGAACTTTCAATACATAATAAAGTGAATAAATTTATTAACTCTTAATTGATAAATGTTAGTTTTTTATCATTTTCAATTGAAAATTAATACAAAATTAATAAATATCGCGCCGCATATGTACATATCAATTTCGCGTATTCTTTAATTTTCATTGTTTTCCAATTTTTGTTAGTGATCTTCAACAGCGGCAATAAATCTGTCGGTTCACATATTTTTTGGTAAGATTTTAATCTGGCCGGGACGGAACTTTGACGGTTGACTGAGTTCAGCAGGTTTTGACGTCTAGCAATTGTTCTCACATTTTCAGTGACAGATGAGTTGGACATCTTTTTATCTCTGGCTATAACAGTATAATTTTTATTTTTAATTGTATGAAAGTTGAGAAAAATTAGAGGGCGAAAAAAGGGAAAAAGGTTTTTAGGTCATATTTTGACGTGCGCAGTATAAATTTGCGTGAGGTAAGTAAATACATAAGTACGTGAAGATTTTGCGATCTCTCTTTGAGAGCGATCACACGAATGCAAGTATTTCCAGCAGAGGATGAAGCTTAGCTATAAAATTAGATATCGCAATGCGCTCTATATTTCATCTACATTGCGAAGTATTTTCCATTATGAATAGTGCCTGTACTTAATGCCCAGTACTTGACAACGCTAGATGTTCTATAACAGACAAATTAGAATTCTTAGTTTACCTAGTGTTTTAACAGCTACGTGTTAATGAGATTTAGAAGTTTTCACACAATATGCCTGCAAATATGGGCATTGCACTCATTTAAATATTTCATTTCGGAATGGAACGACAGTTAGGAATTTTTTTTTTTTCTATAAAAAAAAATATATGGCAAATAACCTTTCTGATAACGAATAAATTGCTATACTGTTGTCTGGAAGTTTAGATATTATCGCGTTAAATATATTGGGCTCTTACCAAATTAGTTTTATAAAAAAAATCCAAAGTTAATCGACTTTTCTCACTTTCAAAAAACATTTTTTCGCGTCACAGTGACTATATTTATATAACTCGCTCTCGAAAATAGACCAATGCTATCGTCTCATCTTCTTCTCGTTCATTATAAAGACTAACATTTTCTTGAAATACTTCCAAAACGTTATAATGTTAATATAAACAGTTTCTGCCAACATTTTATGCATAACGTTAATTGGAAGCAAATTAAAGGCGACAAGATATGAAACTCGTGGCTGTCTGAAAGAGTTTTATACTTTATTGCCTTTGACCATTATATCTGCCTTGCACATTTTTAAGATTTCTTTAGTGCTCCCTTAATTTACGACTTCAAGATATCAGAGCAATATTATAGAAACAAGTAAGGAATGGCTAAGTTGGGGTGTAACCGAACATTTCACACTCTTGCAACTTGCACGGATCAAAGGCGGCAAAGGTATTCAGGTGTTGGCAAAACTTGTTTTAAAAAATGTTACAAATGAATTCACCATTCATTATTCGACGAAATCGTGAATGAATTACGATCAAATTTGACATTTTATTAAGTTATATGATAGGTCATATACTCACTTAGTTTTAATACCATATTTTACGTCCCGTCAACGAAAATTATATTAAACTCATCCTCAAATGTATTATATTGAGTTGATGTGCTAAACGTCAACCAGAAGATCGCAATTGATGATATTAGGGATATGAGATTAAGACCAAGGTCTAAACCAACTCCATTCGTGTTTAGCGCAAAACCATTAATACAATAAGGTTTGTTAGATTAACGGAAATTATTATATGTAGTATACTATAATTTCACATATTTTCGGCATTAAACTAAACTACAGTCACTAACAATAAAATAGAATAAAATGGTTCCAAAATAATTAGCATCGATTCCTGCAATATTTATAAGCAGAACTCATTGTAAGCTTTAGTAGACTTTATTCGATACTTCAAATTTATTAAATTGCAAGTTTTGTCACAATAGTAAACAGTTTATTCGAATATTGGTTTTGCATATGTTCGAAAAGACGAAAATCCAATCAGATTCTGTGACACCATTGAGAATCGGAATTGGTTTGCAATTCTGACAACTAAGCAAATTTGTCTTGGATTCCACAACGCCACTGTAAATCTATTATTGAGCTGATCGATTCATTATAATTAGTTATAAACTTGATTAAAAAAAAGTAGCTTTCAAAAACGAAAAATAAACATCGCCTGGGCAACTCTAATCCTTACGTTTTGAGAAGGGCAGAAAATGTTGCACTTTTATTTCAGGTTAGAAGGCAACGTTCTAAGAAGAGAACACTCAACTTAAATAGGCAGAATAAATACAACATTAATATTTACTCAAATTACAACTTGCACAGACAGACATTCGGATTTTAAATTCTTTCGTCATCCTGATCAATTAGGTATAAAGATTAGATAAATTAGTTTTAGGTGATACGCACAACCGTTAGGTGAACAAAACTCTTATACTTTGTAGCAACATGTTGCAAGCGTATAATAAAAAGCCATTAAAGGGAAATAATAATCTAAAACTGATTTTGAAATAGTCCAATTACAGGTTATATATGTATATATTTTTATATCAGTAGTTATAGCTAATATAACATCGACTTACATAAGTATTCCTTCTAACATTCTAAATGCATACATATTTTTATGATTAAAACTCTGTATACGTTTTTCTATTATACAATAATAAGGTTTTCACTTTTTTACGAACAACGCAGAACTCAAGCACAAATAGCTTTTAAGACAAAAGTTTATGTATATTCAAACAAAATCTACAATGTAATTGTATAAATACGTTAAAAATATATATTAATATATAAAGGTTATTTAGGAGCAATAACACAGCAGCAAATGAATTGATTAAATGTAAAACTATAGTAAAATGAAAGAAATAAAAATAACAGGAAATTTAATAAAATGAATAAATCCAATTCGTGGACTTAAACTCCAGCGAATAAAAGTTTGGATTTTATTTTATTTTTTTTTTGTTATCATTTTCAGGCAGTCTGTATTGTCCTTTTACTATTCCTTTTCAATTATAGTCGAATGGCATTATTTTGGGAATTTGAAATTTGATGAGTTGACTTTTTACATTAGTTTAATGTCCCTTTTAAGTTACTGTTGAGTTTATAAAATCCTCCAATAAGTCGAAATCTTATAGAGCGTTCCAGAGATTTATAAAATCAAAACAAGTACAAACTCGTGCATAATTGTTTGAATTTTTGAGCTTTTAAAGTAGTGGAGGATATTTCTGCACAATTCTAGACTCTTCTCATAGAGAGTTCACAAGATTTCACATGCACTCAAGCCAACGTCCCTTTACAATATTTTGTGTATAACGCTGCGTTGACACTATGGTATAAAAGTAGTAACTTTTTCACTTTTGTGAGGACAGAATCAGTTGATTTATATAC